GCACGGAGGAGAACGTAGCACATGGTGGTTAGAGCACTCTGTCCAGGGACATGTGGCTTGGCAATGGCAAGGCCAGTGGTTGGGGTAGAGCCTTTGACTCCAAATATGTGTCCTTTCCACTGTGCCCTTTAGCCTCACAAAGTCACAGATTACAAAGATACAGGAACTCAGTTGCACGGTTTAGGAATCCCGGGGAGAAAGAGTGGAGGAGAAAGTGAGAAATGAGGTCATCACAAAATCCCCAAATGTTGGGTTGGGAAGGGGTGCTGGGGCTATTTACTCTTCTTCACCTGACAAGCCCAGAAAAGTGACTCTGAGGTGCAGTGTTCCTTCCCCACTCCATCCTCTTCCCCACAGATTCTGGCACTTCTAGGCCTGCTTTCAGGAAAGGGCTGAACTGGTTTTCCTCACTGATGTTTGGTTTAATGATTCCAGCTTCAGTGTAACCCCTCTCAGGGGGACTTGCTCCTTAATTCGGTCATGATTTTTAGTAAAAGAGTCAAATGCTAATGGTGGCTTTATAGGCTTTAACCAATCAACAGGAGAGCACTTGAAGCTGGAGAATAGGATATACAAGAATTTCAGATATTGAATCATGAGAATTCAAGAGGCAGGCAGGGTGCACTGGGCTATAAGTGATGTCTTTGGAGTTGTTCAATGTGGCCACCCAAAGGAGGAATCATGAAGGGTTTCTGTGTTAAGGAATATGAGTTTGTTTCTAATAACAAGGAGGAGTGGAATGTACTATAGAGTGCAGAGGTTAAGAATGTGGCCTCAGTGACTGGACTCCTAGGGTTTGGGTCCATGCTCCACCGGTGTTAGGCAAGTTACTTAACCACTCTGCCATTTCCACATCTACAAAATGGGAATAACAAAAGTATCCACTTCATGGGGTGATTGGCTAGGGCTGTTGGGAGAATTTAATAAGTTGAATTATGTCAAACATTTAGAATTGTGCTTTTAACCTCATGGGACTATATTAGTGTTGCTGCCATTGTGATTATTCATGGATTTTTAGCAGGAAGGAAAGTTAGGCAGATGGTCTTCCTAACAATGAATTTTATAATAATGAGGAAGAAAGATTTTAAAAGGATGGGAAAAGAAGCAGAGAGACCATTAATAAGCAGTTGCCAATAATTTGAGGGAAAGGATGAAGACTAAAGTGTGGCAGGAGGGATAGGGATGGAAGAGAGGAAGCTAGTTCATAATATCCTCATTAAGTGGAGGGTCATGCTACCTTGTTAATCCAGGTAGTGTAATAGTCTGGGTTCTCCAGAGAAACAGAACCTATCTCTCTCTCTGTCTCTCTGTCTCTCTGTCTCTCTCTCTCTCTCTCTCCCCCTCTCCCCCCTCTCTCTCTATTTATCCATCTATCTATTCTTTATCTATCTGAGAGAGATTTACTGCATGCAATTGTCTCATGTGATTAAGGAGACTGAGAAGTCTGACATCTGCAGTCAGCCAGCAGCAGATACAGGACAGTTGATGGCATAGTTCCACTTTAAGTCCTAGTGTAAAGGTCTGAGAACCAGGAGGGCTGATGGTGTAAATTCCAGTTTGAATTCAAGTCTGAAGGCAGGAGAAGACTGATGTCACAGCTTAAAGACAGTCCAGTAGAGATAAAGAATTATTTCCTACTCAGTCTTTTATCCTATTCAGGCCTTCAACAGACTGCAGGAGGCTCACTCACACCACTGGGGAAGGCAATCTACTTTACTCAGTCTACTGATTCAAATATTTACCTTATCCAGAAACACCCTCACAGACACAACTGGAAATAATGTTTAACCAAATATCTGGGCAACTCATGGCTTAGTCACATTGACACATAAAATTAACAATCACAGATATCAGGTTACCCCAATATTCAGTGGTTAAAACAGCAATGTTTAATTATTTCTCATTGACTGTAAGTTGTCTGGGTAAAGCTGATCTAGGCTAGGCTTGGCCAGGCTCTCTCCTGTGTCCATGGCTCTGCTAGAGATTGGCTGGCCTAGGTTGGGCTTGGTTCGGGCGGGTCTTTTTCATGTGTCTCTCATCCTCTACCTAGGACTGGTGGCCTAGCCTATGTTAGCCATGGCAAGGACAGAGCAAACTGAAACATAAAGGGTGTCTTAAGGCCTATGTTTGACACTGAAAACTGTTATTTCTGCCCAACATCATTGGCCAAACCAAAGTCACAAAGTAGGAGAGTATTGTCCACGCATGATAAAGCTATGTGAAAGATATAAAAAAATGAAGGCCATTAATTCAATCCATTATATCCAATATTTGAGTTTTTAAAAAATTCAATTAGCATAATTTGATGATGTATTACATAAAGACAATTGAGATGTAGAGCCATTTCTTACCCAAATTTTGAATCTTAACTTTGTTTCATATCTTGTAGCTGCTAAACACATATTTATTGCATAAGCAGATGTATGGATAGATAGATGGATAGATATAGGATGAGTGAAAATAGATTAAATAAACTATGACCAATGTTTATTTTTTAATTGGATAAATAAAATAAATTTTGCTTTACAAATTCCTGAGAAATAAAAAAGGAATATACATATTTAGTTGCAATGTACTACTGTGTTCCAGGTACCATGTTACACTCTGTTCTGATGGGTTGTCTGATATAGGAGAAATATTCATTAACTGAGATGTTGAGTGGTGATGTAAATTGAAATATTTACTTATATCTTTAAAATTTGAGAACATTTATGAGATGTATGGCACTATAACTAATCAGTGCTCTGCAGGGCGATGCTGAAAGAGTCATGACTCTCCCCATTGGATACCGTGACTAAATCCCACAAACTCCGTCAGTCTTGTTTTTCTCAATGAAAGAAGTAAGGAGGTTGGGCCAAATGTTATGTAAGATCCTTCCTGGCTTGTCTATTTTTTGAATCTAGGTCTACAAAAATACAGCAAGATTTTTGTAGCTGGGCTTCATTTCATCTGTGCACAGTGTCATTTACCTTCCTCTATTTTTGGCAGGAGCATTGGAGATAATGCTGCAGAAAAGCCAATATGCTCCCTGAGGATGGGGTTTGGCAGGAACAGCTGTGACAGTGAGCTGAGGATCCCTAGCCAGGAGGGCGCAAGATGAGAAAGATTCAGGACTGTCAGAAAAGTATGATGCTGTGGCAAAGGGGTTGGATGATGACTCCTCACTGGCCCCAGGGCTCTTGGAATTTTGTCCAGAGAAGCATAAAAAGAAGAGGGCAAGTGCCAGGAGCCACATCTCAAGTTGAAAGGTGTAAAGAACAATTATTTACTGAGAACTCACCAATGCCAAGAGCTGCTCTTGGCTAGAAGGAGAGAAGGTTGCATGAGGAATATGATCTGAATCAGACCTGGTACCATCCTTTACAAGACCTTGCGGTAGTGCTGGGAATCAATGCTAAGGATAGGATATGTTGTAGAACACTCCAGATTCTAGGATCCAAATTGGTGTAGTAAAATCACTATCACACACATAGTTTTTGTGACTATTTAAAATACGGCATCACTCCTATGGTCAGCATCAATGTCCTATTATTTAGACTTGCGTTAAAATAGGTTAATTCTATTTTCTACTGAATGTTTCTATAGTAAGAAGGGAATTTTTACTCCTTTTCCCAAGAGGGGAAGATATAAAATGAACAATCCAAGACTGAAGCATAAGTAACTTAACTAATGGATGAATTTGAGGGAAGAAATTGAGCATGTCTAACTGCCTCTTCTCTCCCCTCTTTCAAATCCATCTGTCAAAGATAGGGTGAATTTTTCATTTGCCATGGACTAAGTTCACCTGGGGAATATGGTAGGGAGTAGGGTGGTATTTCAGTCAGGATGGGCTAGGGCATCCTGTGATAACAAATGGCTTCAAGCCTTCGGTGGCTTCTAAATATCAAGATACTCATACTTTATGAGTCGGTTGTATCTCTGTACCACCGGGTCTTCACTTTTGGTCCAGGTGCATGGAGACCCTCTTTCTGGAGCATTGCTGGACACTGTGTACTAAATGGTGTTCCCCCAAATTCATATGCTGAAGTCTTGACTTGCAATGTGATGATATTTGCAGATGGGGCCTTTGGACAAGAATCTTATTTAGATAAGATAATGAGGGGAGGGCCACGTGATAGGATTAGTGCCCTTATTAGAAGAGACTCCGGAAAGTTCTCTATCTCTCTTTTCTTCTCTCCCTCTGGCCATCTGAGGACACAGTAAGGAAGCACCCAAGAAAGAGGGCCCTTTCCAGAACCTGGCCCCTCTAGCACCCTGATCTCAGACTTCCAGCCTCCAAAACAGTAGGAAAATAAATCTCTGTTGCTTAAGCCACCCAGTCTATGGCCCAAGCTGACACTGATTTGTGGCAAAGGGATTAAAAGGCAAGGCAAACCTCCCTCTGGCTTTAGAACTTCTACCCAGAAGTTTCACTCATCATTTTAGCTTGCATTTTTATTACTTCCAAAAGTCATATGGCTGAGCCTGAGGTCAAAGGGGTAGGAATTATAATCCTCTCTCAAGAAATGTTTCTGACAACACATGCAGTGTGCTGGCCTTGGGTGTGAGGTCTTGCAGTGGTCCATCCACACCAGTGGCAGGTGAACAGATCTGTCTAATTAGCAAGCCTGATAAGGACATGCATCTAAGCCACATTCTCTGCTACAGGATGATCAATTTTCAAGCTGACATTTTGATCTTCAGGTCTCTATTTTCTATTTCTTGATAAAATTTGAAGTCAGGAAAGAAAGAAAATAGTCCTATATGCTCAGTTCCTCAAACCCAGATATTCTGCTGAAAAAAACTGAACAGAGAAGTAGGATGAGGAGGGAACGAGAATGAGGAAGAGAAAGGAACATCTTTCACTTGCATTTCAACTGAGTACCCAGCAAAATATCTGGAGCTTTTGTTATTTTATCTTAGAAAATCCCTATAAGGTAAGTGTTACTATTTTCAATTTTTAAGATGGGAATTGAGGCTCTATGATTTTATGCAAACTGCTGAAGGTGCAAAGGGATCCAAGTCTCCTATAGTATCTAAACCTGCCTGTAGCTGGTAGATTCGTTGCAGGTAAGGAAAAAGGTACAGTGAAATGGAAATAGCATCCTATTCTCTTGGAGGACTTGATGCCAGAACTCAGGTATACCTCAAGGAGAAGAGAGTCCCATAAGTTGTGCTGCCCTATTACTCCAACATCCATCCATCCATCCATCCATCCATCCATCCATCCATCCATCCATCCATCTATTCATGAATCTACCTACTAATTTACACAGCCAATATGTATTGAGCACCAGCTATGTTCTGGGCATGATGATAAGTTCTTGGAATATAGTTGTACGTAAGGCATGTAGATCTTTCTTTCATGACCTTAAAGACTCTCAAGGAAGACAGAAGTTGAACAAAGAGCTGCAAATGTAATGGATGCCATAAAGGAGAAGTGCAGATGGCAGGGAGTCAATCCATTTTGTAGAAGAGGGAGAGTTTCTCAGAGGAAGTGGTGTGTAAGTTGAGGTCTGCTGGTGAATCACAGTTGCCCAGCCTGATTTGCCCTCAAAGCTTCCCTTTAGTCACCTCATTCTTCAGGTAAGTTATATTTTGAGGAATTGAGAGTTGGAATGTTCTAGATGGTCTGAAGTTGCCCTCTAACGCTCATCAGCTACTCTGCCTGGGGGAGCAGGGGAGCTGTCAAGAGGCCGCTTGAGCAAGATGTGATTTCCATTCTAAAATGCTCCGTGTGTATCTCATTAGTCAGAGACACTATGGCTGGTGTAGTGTAAGAGAAAACAAGAGCAAATAGTCAAAATAAAACAGGATTTGAAATTATTCCCAGAATTCAAATTTCTCTTAAAAGAGCCCCGACACTCCTTTCCCTTCTCTCCCCCTCCCCTGCACCTGGCTGGCTCCTCGCCCAGGTCTCAGCTCACCTATCACTTCTTCCAGCAGCCTTCACCTTCCTTTGGGGTGGCACTGAGGATTCCTTAGAGGACCCAAGTAGCATCCTGGACTTACTACTGGGGCAATGTGTCTCAACAGCAGCAGCTCACTGAAATCACCTGGGAGCTTTTAAGAAATGATGGTTTCCATGTCCTACCTCCAGAGATTCCTATTCCAATGGTCTGGAATAAGCCCTGGGCATCACAAATTTAAAAAAGCTTCCAACATCTGCATTCACTACTCCACTGCTACACTTCCCACCCCATATTGAAAATTCCTTCTTGCTTGTCCAAATTCTCCCTTGGACCATAAATTCCCTGAGTGTAGGGTTTGTAAGCTGCACTTGCCTTTGATTCACATAAGCTGGCATATGTGGATGCCCAGTAAATATCTGTTGAATGAATGATGGCTGATGAAGAGTGACACATTTCTCTCTCACTTCTCCAATGCCTACCAGGAGCCTGCCATCCAGATTTTTCACATTGAAATCTTTGAGATTTTTCTTGGAGTCTTCCCCTCCTTCGTTTGATAGTTGATCGCATCTCTTGGCACCATCTGGGCTTTCAGTTTAGCTTGGATGACCCAAGGACTCCAGTCGAATTTGCCTCTGGGGAAGCTGCCCTAGATCACCTTCCAGAATCCTGTTGTCCTCTAGGTTTCACCTTGTAGAGAAGCTGATCAACTCATTCACACAGAGCTGGCAGCGGTTGGCAGAGCCTTGACAGTAGGTATGTTATATTCAGCAGAACATTGGGACTGAGTTGAAAAACTATGTTTGAGTCCTGGCTCTACCTCTTACTAAAGGGACTTGAAGTATCAAAAGTAAGAGGATAACATGTAAAGAAACCAGTGGATGCCGAGGGTCAATTCTTTGCCATATGCTCTTATGCCTATTATATTTTTAGTCCCCACAAGTACCCAAAGAAGTAGAAATGGGCATATATTCTCAGGATGACGAACCTGAGTAAGAACCCTAGCTCTGCATGTAAGTTAGACCTGTTTATTAACCACTTAACCACTTTGGTACCAGTGTCAACTATATTCTATAGCCACAGATGAACACGCACAGTGACTTTAGCTGACAGCCGTGATACGAAGGAGCACAGCCGAGCGTCAACTTGAGCATTAATAACAAAGCTTGACTTTTCTAATTTTTCATTTATCAAAATAAAATTGTGAATATTTAAAAATAACGTAATAAAAACATATATGTATGTGTTACCTATTCTGATTTACATTACAAGTAAAGCTGCCTGTAAAGTAAAACAAGCTTTCAGTGCTTTAAAGCTTTCCTCATCACACAAGAGCAAAACGGATTCATCGTCAATGCACAGCACAAACTATCCTGCGGACTGTGAGTGCTGGCTGTGGGCAAGGTTTCGTGGCCAGTGAGTGTGGTACCGAAGTGCTTAAACAGCTTGTTGTTTATCAGCAAGTCACTTCCACTCTCTGAGCCTTGTTTCCTATAAAGCACTAATACAATACTGCCCTGTGTTTCCTGTAAAGAGATGATAGAGTAATATGGGAGAGTTCATGAACTCTGAACCCAGACTGTGCTGGAGCTCAGCTTCCCCACTTATTGCCTGTGTGACCTTAGTCAAGTGATAACTTCTCTGTGTCTCAGTTTCCTCATTGTTAAAACAGGGCAATATTAATACCTACTGTAGAAGGTTACTGTAAGAGTAAAAGGAGTTGATTTAGGTAAAGTTCTTAGTACAGGGCCATGCACAAAGTAACTCTGCCGAAGTATTAGCTGCTATTATTATTATTACTGTTCAATTTAATTAAACTTGAATTAAAGGAAATATTATTATTATTACTATTACAGCCTGTACAATAGACTCTGTCCGCTGCCCAATGGCAAATGCAGAGGGTTTTGAACTGTCTTTGGTTAGGGTAGGCATGTGTAGAACACTGCATTAGCCCAACGGGTATGTGAAGCCCTAAGTTATTCAATAAACACTGTAAGATATTGGGCTATAAGGACAATGGACACCTTCCAGCTTCTGTTTACTGCTTGTTTGCTAACCACAAGGCATTATGGGTACATTATGGGATGCAGAAGAAAAAGACAAAGAACGCAGAAACCCAAGAGTCTCTCAGCTAGGACCCGGAACAGGTTAGAGCCTATCAGGGGCAGGATAAAGTAAAAATCACTGTGGGGGCGATGCATGACCAGTGTATAAACAACTGAGTTATAAAAAGGGGACTAACACACAAAGGACGGTCCCTGCCTGGAGAAGAGGCCACTGCGCTGGCACTCTGGGGGCTCAGAACCTAGCTCGAGCTAGACAATAAAACTCCTTTTGATAATTACAGCTCGGTGACTCTGTCTCTCTGTCCTGCAGCCTTATAAATCTCGAATATAACACACTTCCAGCAACAATGCTAGATTCAAATCAGGACAGCTGAGCTATTTATCCTACCCTGCTCTGTTACTCATTTTCTGGGAGACATCAAGATGACTTCCTTGTTCAGAGATTCAACTATGTACCAGGTGTATCCCATCTCCTCTTTATACAGGGCTCTTGCAGGGATTCAATAAGGTAACAGAGCTTCACAAACGTTAGTTCCAACTCCTAGAGTAGGTGTGTGCATAGAACAATTTTGGTAATTAATAAAGTACCAGATGCAATTCATCTGACAGTCTCTTTCTCTTATAACATCCTTGGCTTCTCAAAAAATCATTGTATTTATGCAGCAGAGACAGCTGTGGCCTTCTGAATAGCAGGAAATTTGTCCTTGGAGGCCACCACAGGGCAGATGGGATGAGGGAGCTATGAATTAACAAAGGCCTGAATAAGCTATTCAGCTGGGAGGATATTTAAGCAGTGGAGAATCTGAGCTCACTTGTTAACTTTACCCAAATTCTTCAGTTCCTGTTGAAGTCTTTGTAGGTCAACCGGAATACCCAGGCCTCTGAATAACAAAGGGTGTTTTCAAAGTTCATTGACAAGCATGAATGAAAGGTCTTAGAGTCATAGACACAAGGACAACCAGTGTTCTCAAGGAATTTAGAGATTATCCAATCCAACCTCTTATTCTTAAAAACAAAAACAAAAACAAAAACAAACAAACAAAAAAAACCCAAAAAAAACTAGACCTGAAAGGTCATGTGACTCATACAAGGTCACACTATGTCTTCACTCTTTCATTCATCTACAACTTACTGAGCACATGCTATATTTCAGGTTTTGGTCTGGGTGTTGGTGATAGGAGGATGAGCACAACAGTCTTTGTTCCTTAGGAGTTGCCAGAAACAAATGAATAACTAGGTGATTACAAGTGTGCTTAATTATCTTCAAATGCTTCCTACCATGCATTGTATCTATGTCAAGCTGGTTATGAAACACTTGGTTATTGGACATTCATGCTTTTCATGATTTGAGTAAGATCAGTGTCCTGGATAATGTTTGTCGATCTCTCCAGGTTTTTCTCCAACTTGCTTGCTGCCCCAGGAAGATGACCTGAATAGATTAGCTCAAATGACTCTTACTGGGCTCAGCCAATGGGAGCTCCAGTCAGCGGCAGGAGGAATGAAAGTGAGATCAAGGTATTTACAGTGTTTATTCTCTTGCCTTAGGCTCCACCTCACTTGGGCTTTGTCTTCAGACAGAAGGTCACACTGTTACTAATACTGCACTGTCTTGTGGTCTGCCCATACCTGGCCCTTACCTCTGGAAATAGGCCCTTTGTTAAGTCCTCCCAAGATTTTGAATGTGTCATCTGCTTCCTACTGAGACCCTCAGTGATACAAGGTGGGGAAAACATGCTGGAATACTTGGAACATTGTCTGATAGTGGCAAGGAAAGCAAAAAAAAAAAAAAAAAAAAAAGGCAAGGAAAAAGTAAGTTTAGTATATGGTTGAAGAGAGAATTAGTGGAGTAGGAGGTACCATGGACTCTCTATTAATATTACATAGGTGTATATGAAATAACAGAATTACCAGGATGAGATAATTTTATAGATGAGTTTTAAAGAAAGAGATAATTTGCACTATCTTCCAGAGAAAAGAAAAAGAGGAAAAGTTATATAATTATTTTTGAGGCTAATAAAAGCTTCATTTAAAAAAAATTCAATGGATAGTATAATGAAAAAGATGTTAATCTAGCCCATATTTTAAGAAACAAATGAAGTAAGACCAAGTAAAGTTTGTTTCAAGAAGGCAAGGATAGTTTAATATCAGGAAAGCCTTCAATTAAATTTATAATTGAAAAATAAAGAAAATAATATTTGATATATTTTTCTTCTGAATGCTTAATCCTATGGTCTGAATGTGTCCTCCAAATTTCATGTGTTGGAAACTTAATCCCCAATGTGACAATGTTGAGAAGTTGTGCCTCTAGGAATTGATTAGGTGGTGAGCGCCTCTGCCCTTATGAATTGATTAATGCCGTTATTATGGGAGTAGGTTACTGATAAAAAGGATGTGCATGGCCCCTTTTGTTTCTTGCTGTTATGTGCTCTCCTGCCCTTCCACCTCCCACTATGGGATGATACAGCAAAAAGCCATCACCAGATGTGGGCCTCTTGAACTTGGATTGCCCAGCTTCTAGAAGTCTAAGAAATGATTCTCTGTCCTTCATAAATGTCCAGTGTCAGGTACTCTATCATAGCAGCATAAAAAGGAATAAAACACTTTCCTAATGCCTTCTTGATAGTTGCTCGATCTGTTCCTGTAATTCACAATTTTATTCTGAAGCTAATTCTATCCTATTATTTAGCCATCTATTATTCTGTACTGTTTGCCTTCCTTCAACAATTATATCTTACATGCCTAATCTTCATTTTGTTTCTCTTGTATTATCATTTAGAAAATTTATTTCCTTGTTTGATAAAGCTAATATCTCCCCTTATTTCTGTATGCCTATTGTTATGGCTTATTTTAAATTCTTGGTCCATTGTTTCTTTAGCTTTAGCTGTTGTGTGTCTTCCAGGTCCTGATCATGTTTTTGAGGTAGTTACAAGGGTCTTGTCATTTTCAGCTCATATTTTCCTGGTGGTGTGTGCTACTCTGTTGGCAATGGGTATCTGAGAAGGATCTGAGGTCAGATCCTGCTCTAGTTTTCTCAGCTCTGAGGAGTTGAAAGGGAGGGAAGCCAGTAATCCCTGGGGTGAAGAGTACAAGTACTGTAGATTCCCCTCAAGCACTCTTGCTTTCTCCATCCCCACAGGCATTTTTCAGGTCAGGGCTTTATCTAAAAGAGCCCTTTTTTACATATGTATCAGGCTAATTAACAATTATAAATCTGCTGGAAGGAGCAGTTTGGGATGGGCCCCTAGGCTATGATCCCTCAGTCCTGGGAGTTAGAGAGGGATAGAAGAGTAAGTGCCAAAGGCTACTGAGTCTGCCCATCCTCTGATCAACTCCCTACCCAAGCAGGTGTAGGGGTGATCACCTTGAGTTTCACTGGTCTATAATTTCTTATCTGAATCCTTTGAGGGGGATATATTTAAGAATTCTTTTTTTTTTTTTAATTTAGAAAGGCAATGTTGTGCATATATGGGGGTATTATGTATCACCCAGTGGGGTCTCAGGCAGGACCTCATAATCATTCCTATTAATAATTTGTAGTGAAATGTGTGAATGGTCAAGTGAAATGGGATTAGTAAGAATAAAAATGGCTTCACTATGGTACAGGTCAGGTTTTGTCACCCAAGAAGTTCAAATTTGGTCAGATTTTGCCTCCAAATGTGTTATGGATTTTCTTTCAGTTTTCAGATCTCACTGGATTTTGGCATGGGGTAAGGAATTTTAGCTCTGTATGTGTAAGGACTAAAATCCAGAGGCAGCTACTGAAGCACTTTTGCTATCTGTTCTCTCCACCCCAAGGGAAGAATGCCTAATGAACATACTGCATGTCAGAAATGAATTCTTATTGGTGAGACTAATGGCTTGTTAATTAGCCTGATATGCATGCAAAAAAGAGCTCTTTTTGATAAAAGTAAAGGTATTCAGAATTTGTGCCTGACATATCAGAAACACTCTGCCCGTGAGGAATAGGTCGTGAAGCCCAGTGGGTCTGTACCCTTCCCTCTTAGGATACCTGGGGCTAATCCTCTAAGAATCTCATGTCCTGCTATGAGTGCTGGATTGTCTTGGTTTTACATAAACAGAGCCTTGCACTTGGAATCTTGGTGTTCGCCTTTCTGGAGCATTTTATTAATAGAGTCTTCCTGGTCCCAGAAAAGAAAGGCCTGGCTTTTCCTCAAATGTTCAGAACGGTTATATGAATTATTTGTGCCATCTTTCCCAGTGAGTGGTTATATAATAATATCTCACCTTGTGATAGATTTTGGTCTGAGACATGCTTTTAATATAACCTACCGACAAAATTGAGATGAGCAGCTAACCCTCCTCCACTCCAAACTGTTTTAGGGGTTACCAATACCCACTGGTGATAAAGAACCTGGGAGCTTTGGTGACTTCACAGCAGCAAAGCAAATCTACTAGGTGGACAATCTGACCTGCTGGCACCTTGGGACAAGTCCAGGCTTAAAGCCATTCACCTCAGTCTTTCTCCCAAAAAGGAGTTGGGGAAACTGAGGACCTTGGTGTCCCAGTCTCAGAGCTTCTGAAGAATAGCCTAGTGGCTCAGGGAAGATATCTGCAGCCTTATCCCCAAAATTATTGATCAGTTCACACATCAGATACTTGATGTAGGCCAACAGGATTAGACAAGAGGAGCATGAACTTCATGTGGCCATGCGATGGGGAAGCTGAGCCCCAAGCTGAGGAGCACACAGATGGCCATTCTATGGGTTTCTTTAGAACATGGGAAGAAGAAACCCAGAGGACTTAAGAGTGCTCTGGCACAGAGCATAAACAATTTCTGTTATGTTCTGAGTTCCTGCAGAGAGTTCATTCCCAGCAGAGCCTGGGTTGGTGCTGGGGAAACAGGAGTGGGGTAGGAGGTCAGGGAGCAGAGCTGGGATCCAGCCAGGTGTGGGCAGGTCTGAAAGTGTGTGCATGGTGGGGTCAGGTTATAAATGGGGAACCCAAGGAGTCCTATCACAGAGACTGAGCCAAAAGGGAAAGATATATCCAAATGGTCACCAGGTCCAAGGCCCATGATCTCCAAACACCCTCACCCTCATCTGCTGCTGGGCAGAGGCTGCTGCTACTCTTCTGGTACTTTTTTGAGCTTTGGGGACCTAAGTCTGATGGTGGAGCTTGTTATGTCTGTGGCTGGATGTTGCTACATGACTGCGGGAGGAATTACAGATTTCTCTAATTGGTATTCACTACTTACTATGAATTTAGTTTCTGATAACCCCCTTTATGCCCATATGTCAGAGTGATAATCAGGTCCCTCATTTTAAAAATGAGGAAAACACCCTTCAATAGAGCCATGAAGCACCTGTCACTGGTCTGGCACATAGTAGATGCCCAGGAAACATTGGTTGTCTTTCTCTCCCTCCTTACCCCAAAGGTGTCCAAAAAAAACCTTGTTGGCTTGAATTAAATTTGGCATAAATATCTCATCTGCCTGCCTGGAAGTTTCCCTTCCTTTCTTTCTGAGATTGCCTTCTGGCTGGCATGTATTTACTTTCATTTGGGGTTTTTAATTCAACTGAATAAAAGTCATTATTTCTTTGAGGCAATGATGCTGCCTTGAAGAAACTGCAGCAAAAGTCACCGCTGAGATTCAGCTTGTCCTTCAAAGCTGCCCAAGAAGATGAGAAGATGGACAAATAAAACATGTCTATTTTCTGAAACATACGCACAGAAGAAGAAAAATAAAGCTCTGTGTGGCCTATCTATAATCATTTTTAATTTGAGAGAGGTAGTGACCTGTAGCTTGCTAATATAATGGGAAAATTTGATTGTACAGAATCTGGTGAAAAACGAGGCCCAGAAAAGTTGTAAGTGGGAGGAGAAGGAGAGAAAGCGCTGCTTCGAGGGTCAGAGGTTGCTGTCTTCTGAGGGCAGGATCGTGCGAGGGACTGGACTCGAAGCTCAGGGCACAGAACACTGTTACTGCGGATCCCTGCCTCAGTGAGACGGGCTTCAGAGCCAGCTGTGCCAGACCCAGTCGCAGAGCATGAAGAGAAAGGCAGGGAACTAAGCTAGCATGGGGCGCAGTGATTAGGAGACTCACACCGACCCAGCTGAAACTCTGATGCTTTCTCTCTCAGGGTAATCCGAAGCCAGCTTTCTTAGCCTTGTGAGCCACAATTTCCTCAGTTGAAAAATAGAGTCTAAAGTGTATCATGCAATGTTGGTTTGAGTTAAGTGAGATAAAGCAAATAAAATAATGTATTGCCTGGCACAGGGTCACCCATTTTAGAGCTCCTTCATCCTGGGAGCCTGGACTCTTGGAATAAAGGAACCAGGAAAGAGTAGGGGATAAGTTGCTGACCAGGTACAGTTGTGTCTTATGAGCCTCTAGTTGCCTGGTGATTAAAGATCAGTTTGTGCTCCTGGAGGATGCCCATCCCCCTGGGAATATAATGTTTATTGATGGACGGTTGTCTATCTCAAGACGCAGAGCAAGCTTTTCTCAGGTAGATTGTATCACGCATACCTGGTAAAGGAGAAGGGATTTTGGCCTGTCCCTTAGGCTGTGTTTCCAAGCCCATCGGAAGTTAGGTTTTCAATTATTTCAGCAAGGCTACATTTTGTATTAGAAAGAGCCTGAGTTCTAAAGTCAGAAAGGCAGAGGTTTATATCTGGATCATCATCTTTTAGTCTTTAATAATGTAAAGCCTCATTTATTAAGCTGGCCCAGTTTAAGGTGTAAAGGGAGCCAAAGTTGGGGAGGGTATATATAGAAATTGATTAGTGCAATCAATGCCTCCATGATGCTCACACTCAATCAGGGGAGCAGGAGCCATAAGCAAAGTAAAAAAAAGTGATGTGTAAACTCAGAGATGGAGGGACAGATGGGCAGAAGAATGTGGAGCACACTAAGCTCAGCTTAAGATGCTATAGCCTGGGTTTCCTTAAAGAATATAGGGATAAAGAGAATTGGGGTTGGGATTGGGACAATAGAAGCAATCAGAAGCTTTATATTCTTAGAGCCTCATTTTCCCTGAATATGAAATAGAGATCACTTCTTTCTAACAGGGTCATTGTGAGCATTGAGATTCTAGTGTATCAGAGATTCTGTTTCACTGAACATCAACAACTTTGCTATGGTTTGAATGTATATCCCCTTCAAAACTCAATTGGAAACTTAATCCCCAATGTGCAGAATTGAGAGGTCATACCTTTGAGAAGTGATGGGGTCATGAGGGTTCTGTTCTTATGTGTGGATTAATCTATTCATGGATTAATGTGTTATCACTGGAGTGGGACGAGTGAGTTTGTTAGGAGTGGAAGAGAGACCTGAGTTATCATGCTTAGGGGATGCACTCTTGCCATGTGATGCCCTGAACTGCTTCAAGACTCTGCAGACAGAGAAGAAGACCAAAAGAAGGCCCTCACCAGATGTGGCCCCTTGACCTTGGATTTAGCCTCCATAACTGTACGAAATAAATTCCCTTCCTTTATAAGTTACCCAGTTTCAAATAAGCAATAGGAAATAGGCTAAGAAAAGCTATGAGCATTAACTTAAAAAGACTTTGATCATTTGATAGATAAAATGATATTTTAATGTTACATAAATGCATTTTTGTAATTAGCAAAGTTAAATATTTTTCATATAACTATTTTATATATATAATATTTTTCATATCATATATATATATATATTTGTGAACTTCCTGCTATTGCCTTTGGCACTTTTTCAGCTCAACCTTTAGGGGCAGTTCAGTGACTAGAAGAGTGACACACAATATGAAACAAAGGGGATGGAAGGAAGTGTCAATAGTCATAAATTCTGGATGGTGAGAAGGCTTACAGACTGGGCCAAGACACAGAGACCTGTATTTCTGTGAAATAGCATGGATTTCCTGAATTGGAACAAATGTTTGGGTTTGTTTGTCCCCTATCATGAAGGCAATCCTTTAACTCTGATTATTACACACTTGCTCTTTCCTAATCTGCTCCTCTCTCCTAGTAGATTCCTGATGTGGCCTTGGGGGCTCAGAGATGGATGAGACATCGGCTTTACCCTTGAGGATCAGATTCTGATGGATAGGATTGACACAGGAGCAGATCTTTTTAATATAACATAATTGCTGCGAAGACAGGGCTGTTTTAGGGGCCACAGGAAGACCACTTGGTACTCACTGTGGGGTTCAGGGCAGTCTTTCTAGAGAACAGGTCAGCTGGGCCTGTACCTCCGATTTGCAGAAATTATTACCAGAAGTGGACTGTTGCCTATTCCTCTCTCTTGGATTTGCTCCACAAGGAAGTGTGATGACAAAGGAATGAGTTAAATGTTGGAGCCCTGGGCCACCCTGAGGTAAAAAGGTAAGATGGGAAAGTCCAGAAAAGAGAACCTGAGAAGGGGCAGCCCAGTTGCTTCCCCTCTAAAGTGAGGGCAGTGAATGAAAGCCATATCAAGGTGTCTTCTAGGTTCAGTGAAGCAACAACAGTTAGGTATGGATCAGGAGCCCAGGGTCCATATCAAATCACACCGGTTTGTAGAATTCCTCAGGAATCTGGCAATCAGTGAATTGAGAATTATGAGATTCCTTTGTGGTAGTATCAGGGAAGTGTCTTCCAGTGTAGGTGATGTGAAGCCTTGGAGCATGTCCACACTTCGCTTGTGGGATAAGAGGAGGAGAAGGAGGAAGAGGAGGAGGAAGAGTGGAAAGAGGAGGAGGAGGAGGAGAGAAACTAAACTCTAACCCACTGTTGAGGAAGACTGGAAGGAGAAGGGGTACGAATATACCTTACTAATCTGCTATCTCTGAGTAATCAAATCTGGTTCAACCCTGAACCACGAGGAGCTCCTTAACATCCTGGAAGGGTATGCAAGTGGCTCTATGCAATAAGTGTAAGTAAAGTATGTATTTATATCCATAATCATTAATGATGAACCTTGTCTAAATACACATTTTGCCTTAGGATATTAAGTAATGGTAATAACAAGTCTGTATCATATAACTTATAAGTCATCATAGGTAGATTTATAGATGAATAGATAGATAATGAGGGAGAGAGAGCATGTTGAAATATTTTTTTTTACTGTTGAAGTACAATCAAATACAGTCAACTAAGTTAGGCAACCACTGTAGTAGTGAATAGATTGAACAGCATTTCCCACTCGAGTAGGGGGTGCTGCCGGGTTTATCCAGGCAAAGCATTTGAAAGAGGAGTGAAGATAGCTGTGAAGTTTCAAAGAATATTAAAGATGTAAACGCATGAGAGAAAATTTTATGAATACATGACAAATTGCAACTATTTTAGAGAAACACCAGGCTGTGAATCTAGATAGAAGGTACAGACCAAGGCAAAATCCTTGTCTCGTGGTTAGCTTATCACAAACAGAATCAGTGCATTAAGGATTGTCATCAAATATCCTTCAGGTGCTCAGGGAGGGATGCACAGACCAGAAGATTCTTGGGATGAGGGGGAGGGATTAGGCTGATCCCACTGGACTCCTTAGAATCAAAGAGGGCCATTTCAGAGGGTTACCTACTCTCTGGTGACAGCATCCATGAGTGTTAGGGTTATATTGCTTCCTCCAATTAGCTTCCAGGAGAAGAGAAGATGGCAAAATACACTTTTGTGGAAGAAGTAATTATTTTGTAGAAAAGGAAGGAGGAGTGAGGGCACTGTAAAATGAACAGGAAGAGATGAAACAAATCCAGAACTCATCAAGCAGATGATGATGCAGGTAAGAAAAGAAATGGGAAGGAAATAGAACCAATATTCAATGATGCTTGAAAAGAGAAAAATCTAAGTATAGAATGGTTAAAGGAAAGCAAGAAACAGAACCAATGTGAGGAATACCAAGAATCCCAGTAGTGTACATTTCAAGGGTATAAATTAGTGGAGCTTCTGGGGGTGCTGATTTTATAGAGGAGAGATTAAAGAGAGGATGTAGGAGCAAGAATAGAAAGTCCGAGGTTATGGGGCAGTGAAGGTGAGATCATTTATTATGTTGTATATTCCTCTTTGTGTGTTGTCTAAGGATGAACCTCAGCTACTGTCTTTAAGCAAGGACTGACTATAAATACAATTCCATTTAGCAGCTGTTTATTGATTGCCTACTAGATGCAATGTATTGTACTTAGGGCTGTGGGAGCTCAGGAGACAAATGAGGCATGGAGTCTGCTTACACATGTAAACAACCGGCTATAACCAAACAGAAAATGGAACGAGAGCTACCTGGAGTGCCCAGCAGCCTGCTGTGAGCTATCCCCTCAGGAAGAAAAATACAATTCTGACTGGGTTCCTCAGGGAAAGCTTCTGAAAGTGGTTGCCGCTTGATCCATGTTAGGCAGGCTGTGTCTGGAAGGAGGGAAGGGGATGGATTCCAGACAGAGAAAACAGCACGGGCAGAGAAGCCCAGAGGCAGGATGCTGTGGAGCACGCTCAGAACCTGTCCACCTGTCATTGAAGCTCATCCTTCAAGGCCAGGCCAAGGTGGCTTTGCTGATGGCCTTCCCCAATGACACCATGAGGGTGAGTTATTTGGTCCCTTTAAGACTTTTCTGGTCTTGGGATAGTGGAATGGTCATGTCACTTAGGAGTTGTAGAAAGCATAGAAAAATCACAAAAATGAGCCCAATCAAATGAAAAGTTTTGTTTGGATTCATTGATTAGAACAAAACAATGTAAGTTAACCTTAATAATGCTGATCTTCCTTTTTTAGCACAATCGAGCACATCCCCATAAGGAATGCATAGGCATATATACATTTTTCATTACTTATTGTCAAAAATGCTTGACTTTTGCAAGCAGCAGTTACATTTGGGGGGTCAGTTTCTGTCAGGATAATACAGTGGTAATGTCTGAACATATCACGTCCAACAGGAGTCATCTGTCATCTGTCACCTACTCTGGGCCACACACTCATCTCTACCAGAACTCCCTTTACGCATGGTGTGTATACCACTGTTTTTGAAAGTGGGCTAAAAGGGAAAGTAAAAATTATTTGATTATGTTCATTTCAGAGTAGCAAACTGGGGCTCTGATGTTTAATTAACTTGCTTAAAATCGCTCAGGCTTTTGGCAGCGGAAGTGGGCACAACAATGCAAGTCCACAGACCCAGCCATTCAAACCACGCAGGCAACCAAGACACTAAAAGATGATGATGGTGGTGTTCAATTAAATCAAAATATAATTGGAACACTGGATAATTGTTTGATTGTTGTATAATTCTGCACATTGTATAATTTGTTAAGAAATTTTTTTAATGATTTGGATAGTTGTTAATTAATTTGGCATGTATCATACACCACCAGAAAGTAGATGATAGGCCCAATGCAGATGATATTTTCATGCGAAAGATCATATATATATATATATATATATAAAATATGTGTAGACAATTATATATATATAAATTTATAAATCACATTGTATGTAAGGAGAGGAGAAAAGAGTATTTCTATGGACTGAATTGTGTCCTTCCAAGTTCATATATTAAATCTCTCACCCCCAATGTGATGGTCTCTGGAGATGGAGCCTTTGAGAGCTAATTAGGGTTAGATGAAGTCACAAGAGTGAGACCCTTATGATGGGATTAATGGTTTTATAAGAAGAGGGAGACAGCTTGCTCTCTTTCTCTCTTCACCATTTGAGGACATAGTGAGAAGACAGCTATCTACAAGCCAGGAAGATGGCCCTCACTATGAACCAAATCAGTCAGCACCTTGACCTTGGACTTTACAGCCTCCAGAGCTATGAGAAATAAATGTCTGTTTAAGCCTACCAGTCTATGGTATTTTGTTACAGTAGCCCAAGCAGACTAATATAGGGATTGACATTTTTGAGCACCTGTTTTATGCCAGACAATTATGTTAGAAAAGTTACAGACATCATTTTATTTTTACAGCCACTCTGTGAATTGAACACTATTTCCATTTCTGGAAGTGAATGCTTAGAAATGTCGAGAAACTTCCCTGAGCTCATACATAGCATGTAATGGGGCAAGCCCAGGTTTGTCAGACCCTCAACGGCTCCCTCTCTTAGATCACAGCTTCTTCTAGGTGCCACACAGGTGTCAAATAATAATCCTTCCTCACGAGGGTCCTAAGGAAGCCTTAAGAGAATGTTGCTGGCTCT